ATATGTACATGCCTGTATTTAGACCTCTATAAATGTCCTTTGCCTCCTAGTTCTTTCCTCTAGTTACTTTTACTTTTCTCTTGTCCCACTATTGTGTTCAGCTTTCATTCGGGTTTCAGTAATTCCTCTGTGTTACATTGATTGCCCTTGATTAAGCACCACCAGGCATCCTTCGCCCTCCTCGCCATCAATTTTAGATCACTTGTTGTTTCCTTGTCCCTGGGTTGGTGGACAACCCCCTTCCTTTCTCCTATCTCCCTCTCTGCCATGTTCCCCCAGAACCATCAGTCCTGTTGTTTTCTCCTCCAAATAGTTTATCCCGCCTGGCTTATCTAGATAGACACGCAGAGAAAATAATAAGCACAAAAACAAGACAAAGCCAAACAAAACAACAAAGGTAGACAGAACAAAACAACAACAATGCTTAACTTTTACTACTATCAGAAAATTTAGAATTTTCCCATGTGGGAATGTTTCCAGTTTTGAATACTTTTATTATTTTCCATGCTATACAGTGCCAACTGACTGTCTAGCCTATTTTAGAGGTTCACTTTGGAAATGAAACTTTTAACCTTAGTGAATTAGATCATGATCCCAATTCTACCTTACAATTCTGGCTAGATCAGAGGATGTACATTGGTACAGATAGCAACTGGAAACCCAGGGAATCCAGGACAGATGACTTCTTCAGGATCAGTGGTGAAAGAGGCGAGGCCTGGAGGGTGAAGGGAATGTGGGGTGGAAAGGGGGAACCGATTACAAGAATCTAGGTATTGCCTCCTCCCTGGGGGAGGGACAGCAGTACAGAGGGTGGGGGAAGATGTCAGACAGAGTAACTTATGACAAAACTATAATAAGTTGTGAATTATGAAGAGTTCATGAGGGAGGTGGGGTGTGGAGGGAGGGGGAAAATAAGCAACTGATATTAAGGGCTGAGGTGGAGAGCAAATGTTTTGAGGATGATGAGGGCAGCGAATGTACATATGTGCTTGACACAATGGATGTATGCATGGATTGTGATGAGAATTGTACGAGCCCTCAATAAAATAATTAAAATAAAACATAACGAAAAAAAAAAGAAATTTGACCTTGGGCCTTTTCAAAATGTTTATTATACAATTATTGCCAGAGTGCTACTAAGATGTGGTTGAGAAAGCTTCTTATAATTCAGACATGAACAGTTTTAGAATGGGAGATATTTTGAGAGAATGGTTTTCTTTAGTTTAAGACTGCCTGTTTTTCACTTTAGCAGGAACTCGGGAAGTGAGCTCCAAGTGTATTATGCCTCACCCAGGAGTTATCAAGACTTCTTGGAAGCCATCCGCAGAAGGGGAGATACATTTTACGTGGTGTCATTCCGAAGGGTAAGGTCACTTTTTTTGAGTCCCTGCTATGTGCAAGTCATTGGCTTGAATGCCTTGGATGTGCGATGCTCAGAAGGCAGTATAAAGCCCGCTATCACTTGGATGGAGTAGTGTAAGGTCTACAGGACATGCTTGGTGGTGTGAGCTAATTGTTCCACAACTTGATGTCAGTCTATTATCTTAAGTTTTGAAAAGCTAAAGTTCATAGTGATTTTTATTCTCTGTCATTCCTACAGCCATACTATTTGTTTATAACCAAACATGACAAGGTTTCTAGCTCGGCTTTGTGGTGGTTGTGCCCATTTTGGTTATTGTAAGATCAGAGAACTTGGGCTCCTGACGACTAAGGAGATTCAAAATTTCCTATGTTTTTAGTTATCGATGAAATATGGGATATTTGAAATAATTTTAAGATGGTATGTCAGGGCTCTGCCATTTTAAATTTCCTATGCTCACTATTTACTCAGACATTAGTATTCCCTTTCTGCATTGCATCAGCCTCAAAAGTTCTTTTCCAACAGCCAGGGGGCAACTGAGAGCAGAATTTCGGCAAGATTCCAACTGTACTGGCTGATGAGCGCTAAGTATCAACTTTAGTGTTGGCACAGTTATGCTTCAAGTGGGGGATAAACGTAAACTGTGAAATATGACGCCCAGGACTATGAAGAAGATATTTAATAGGTGCTGAAATGAAGATGTTAAGGTATAGGTTACAGAAGTTACCACAGAAGAATTTTTGTAACACTCAAGTAGTTTATTCTTTGACTCTGGATAATTTATCTATTATTTTTTGTAATTTTTGTAACACTCAAGTAGTTTATTCTTTGACTCTGTATAATTTGTCTATTATTTGATCAAAACAATATACAGTTCATATAAAGAAGTAGCAGTTGTCAAACCATCTGTGGAAATTAGGGTTAATTAACGTTTCCCTAGGTGAGAAAATACATAATTGTTACAGAGAAGATAATCCTAGCTTTAAAGAGATTGTGCTTTTGCAAACATTCTGCATAACACTCCTTGCATTTTGCATTTGTAAAAGTTATTACTCACTAGATTGCTCTGAACATTCCTGTTGGAACATTATTATTATTTTTCTCCTCCTCCTAACCCTTTGATGTTCTAGAAAAAAACCAGTCTTCCTCTGTCCAGGAAAACTGTAAGGACTGTTTTTCACCATCTGTTTTGCTTTTTCATTTCCTAATTACCGATGTGTCCTATCTTGGCATTTTTTTATCAAGAAAAAGTAAGGATAAGCTAGAACTAATTAGGTAACAATAGGTAAATATTTATTTATTTTTCCATCAGAGAAAAAGAAAGTTAATCTTGTCGTGATGATTCTAAAGTGTGTCAGGGAGCAGGAGTTCAATTCTTTATTACCTGGACTGCTCCTTCATTCCTTTGGCTCTTGCTAAAATGAAAGTGAGAGCGACAGTGCATCCCCTCCCACTTGATGTCCTCTTACATCTTTCAGTATAAAATCTTCTAACAGCTTCACCAAAAGGCAAGCAGTATTATTCTTGTGCAGAAGGGGATTGAGCTTTTCTCCAATTTAGATTCTAAATTTTATTGATAGAAAGAAATCATTCTAGTTAAAACTGTGTAATTATATTCAGAAATAGAAATATTCTAAAGTCAAGATTATGTTCAGCATAAACCAGACAATTACAACAGAGTCCAATTATCCTGTCGTTGGATATGTGCTCACAAGATACTTTAATATGTAGAAAAATTGATGCAGAAAGGTAAAATGGGAAGCAGAGAGATCACAGGCCAGTGGGTGCACGTGGATTCAAGTCATGTGGATTCAAGATCAGTGGAAACATGGCAAAGTGCTGACAACTCGCAGGGTGAAGCCACCCACATGGGCCCTACCCCTGCAGAGAGGCACAGAGGGCCCTGCAAACAGGAAGGGGAAGACGAAGTTCCCATCTTCTTGCTTATAGAAAGACCACACCCCCAAGGAGGCATCATCAGGCTGGGACTTGATTAACAGGTTGGTCTCCACCCCTATACAAGTGCAAGTTGACATCAAATCGTAACTAGCACAACTAATTATACCATTATGTCGTACACCCTCCTTGGGCTTCCAAACACTCCATCATACCCTGCCCCCCACCCCCGTCCCACTCTGGTGCCCATCTGCTTAAGTGATTTCCTCTAAAGTAAACTCACTCTTGGATATTGATTGAGCTCCTCTTGTAGGTCTGTAAGAAAGAATGCGTATGAACCTTGGCCCTGACAAATGTTCAGACATTTTTTCTTTTTCCTTTATTTTAACTTTCTTTGAAGAGGTTTTACTTCTGACATACTTACCTGCTCTATTTGCTTAGTTCCGTGACTCATAGCTTGTTTTCGGTTAAGTGTTTTTCCTCTTTCTGTTCTCCTGACTTCTTTTGATATGGTTTGGAGGACAGGCAGTAAGAAATAACTTTTTTCTCAAATTTCCAAGTCATTTTAAATGAGATAAAATTGATATATTCATTAAAAATTCAATTATATTTACTGATTTTTCCTTTTCTTTTATGCTGTCATGGATTAATCTACTTTGGGAGGGAGGGCAGTGGTAGATTAAAAACCATAAACAAAATGAATTTAATAGCACGGGACAGAAACATACTCCGAAAAGTTCAAGTAAAGTTAGATAAGCAAGTGGATTCCAAGGAGGGATGTAAAAGATAACATTGAGAAGAAAGGCAGGAAAATGATATTTACTTTCTCCTGTTGATAACTCCAGTCAGCCTTGAAACCCCATCCTTAGACTAGCTCTCTCATTCACTCATGGCTGGAGAAAGGGATTTTTTTTATCATACTGAGGAAGTCTCTCTGTAAGCCCTGGTTCTCTTTGGTTTCAGTGGTGATGAATGGTCATTTACGATCACACTCTCTGTACCACACGCTCCTGCTTGGTGTTTCTTTTTCAATGACACCAATGCCTACTTGAGCACATTGTTTCTTTATCGGACAGTATGGGTCTCAAATCAACAGTAGACACTTAAAAGTGTCTTTCATTAGTTAAAAAACAGACAACGACCTAAGGAAAAATGGAATTAAAAGATAATGGAATTTTTCCACCAACTTTTTGAAGGCTCCTTATATAATGTAACAGGGAAACCTAAACTGTAGCTATGTGCCTGGCCTCAGAGATGTTACATTCCCTCTCCCCCTCTCTCCCTCCCTCCCTCCCTCCCTCTGAACATACTCTGCATGTAGTACCTATTTGGGTATGCTACCCTTCTTGGTCTCTTATGAATAGTTTATTAGCAATATCATGTATGCAGTATGGACTACAAGGAAGAAACATACTCAGTAAACTTAAATTATAGAGACTTCTTGTAAGATAAACGAGGAACTGTGGCAGCACAGGAAACGGGCTCAGTAGCCACATTGCCCCTGTGTTCCTGTGCTTCCTAGGCTGGATGCGCGGTAGTACTAATGGAATATTGGAATAGTGGCTTGTCATTCCTGATTCAGCAGCAGCTTCCATGGTTCTCGTACTTGAGTCCTTTTGATACTTGCTCATTCAAATCCCCTTTAGGTAATATCGCTGTAGCCGCCTTGACTCCATGATCCTTGGTCTCTTTATTTGTGATCATGGAAATAATGTGGTTTCATGAAATGCATTCTTTGCTTTGTAAACCGCCAGCTTTATGCAGAAAGAACAACTTAAGTTCAACCTCTTCTTAGAATAAGATTGTAGAGCTGGATAAACTTAGAGTTTGATACACCCTTTAGTAAAACACACAGCCTTATTTGTTTCCAGTCCTCTCTTATTGGTCCTAAAAGGCTGACCTCTCACCTATACTGTCCGCTTTGTAAACACACTTACTACCACTGACATGCAGCCCAGGGCCAGCACTGAGTGCTATTGCATGGTAAGTTTTAGGTAAGTCACCGAGGGAAGTACGCATGATAAAAGTTTATTGTTTTTCCTAATAACATACAGGGTAGTTTAGCATCTGTTTTTGTAAGGGACTTTTTATCTATCTTACTGGTCCAAGAAGTAGCTTAAGCAGTACTGAGTTCCTGTAGAAGGTTTAGTTAAAGATGTATTAGCCAGAGATGTAGCAGCTTTGTGACTTGCCTCTGAACCTAAGCTTTAGAGCTGAAGAACTCATTTGGGTGAGATGTTGTTTACCAGCTTACTGTTTCAGTGGGTAGAAATTAGAGATCCTTGCATCCTCATGTTTTAATATTTTAGCAGAATAATGGGTGGATTGTTGTTAGACATTACTGATTTTTAAAAATCATTTTATTGGGGGCTTGTACAACTCTTATCACCATATATACATACATCGTGTCAAGCACATTTGTACATTTGTTGCCATCAACATCTCCAAAACATTTGCTTTCTACTTGAGCCCTTGGTATCAGCTCCTTATTTTTCCCCCTTCCTCTCCACCCCCCTTTCTTCATGAACCCTTGATAATTTATAAATTATTATTATTTTGTCGTATCTTACACTGTCTGGCGTTTCCCTTCACCCATGGCATTACTGATTTCTTTAGTCTATAATGCATGGTGGCTAGTGCCTAGATAAGTCCAAGCAGCAGGAGACAGAAACTTGAAAAGAGAAACTGTACGAAAGACCGATTCTTGCAGAAAAGTTGACCGTGTTTACAAACCAGGTTTCTTCCTGCCCCCTCCATAGATGACTATAAAGAAAAATTTTACATAGCCGAAATGGTATTTTCTAGATTAAAACATAATTCATACTTAACTAGATGATGTATTTCCTTAACATATTATACTTATTTCATAGAAATGTTTGTATTGTGTATGTGTATGTATTCAGAAGCAGGATAAATTCTTTAGTAATCAAAGGAAATTAGTTTCTATAACGTCTGCTTCAAAAGGATACACTTCTTTGGTTTCTGAGAATTCAACTTGTGCGTATACATGGGTCTTGGAGTTTGACCATTTTCTTATCTTCTTTCATGACCTTTTAACCAATTTCTTTCTCTAACCAGAAAAAATAAAATCAAATGTGAAAAATTGAG